CAAAAAGCATCTTCCTATGCTTGTCCACTAGCACCTCTCTCTCCCCCTTGTCGTTTTCCACCGACATATTTCTCTCTCCTCTCTTTCACACACTGTTTCTTTCTTTTGTCCTTTACTGATAATGGAGGACAGCTAGTCCACCTTCTTTTGTCTTCATCCACCGACAAAGGCATCTCATGCCAGCTGTTCCACCCTCTCTTGTCTTCATCTGCCGACAACGGCATCTTTTCCTTTTGTCTTCTTCCAATAATGGTTGCCAGTTGGACGAAGAGATTCTCTTCGACCTCTATAAGAAGGAAGCCCTTTCCTCTTCCTCAGCAGGGCCTCACTCCTCTTCTCTCCTACTAAGAGCCTAACTTCTCTCCTCTCTTCCAAAAAGCCGAAGCCTTCTCTGAACCCTTATCGGAAAACCTCTGAGCCTTTACCAGAAAACCTCTGAGCCCTTATCGGAAAACCTCTGAGCCTTTACCTGAAAACCTTTAAGCCTTTACCAGAAAATCTCTGAGCTTTCCCCAAAACCGCTGAGCTTCTCCCTGAACCTTTGCAACCTACCTCTACAACTTACCTTGAACCTCTGTACCCAGGCCTCAGACCTCAGACCTCAAAACCTCCTACCTTTGCAACTTTACCTTAGACCTTGCAAACTTCTGCATTCCTGAAACCTCGTCCCAGAAACTTTATCACAAGCCAAACCTCTGTACACCTGAACGAACCTCTGCAACAGTCCCTCCATACCATTTCTATCTACAGCTATCATTGCCCTCATAGCTGAATCAGGTTCTCTCGCACCTCACTCTTACTTATGTGTGATTGCAATATTCATAACTTGCCTTCGTACTGTCCTCACCACTGGAAACTCTTTTCCAGTTACTGTGTATGTACCCAGTAAGTCTCTTACTTTCTTTTTAAGTTTTCTCTGTTTTTACTCTCAGTTTTATTTCCTGTTTTCATCTTTCTTTCCTCTGTAATATTTCCCTGTTTGAAAGCACCTGTGAAAATAAATAAAATGCTAGTGTGATTTTTTGTAAAATTCCATGCTTACTCGTTATGCAGTTTAATTCCATGCTTACTCGTTATGCAGTTTAAAATCCTATTCAATATTAAGATAGGTAACACTAGTTACGCTCAGTGGATCGTACTTGATATCTCAATAGTTCCATTCATAGGAATTATATTATTTTGTTTAAATTATTATAAAATATTAAAATCAATAGTAACTTACAACAGCTTGCTGTTCACATACTTGTTATAGTCCTGAAAATCTCTTCCAAATAAAACTGAACACCTGAAACATAAAACCCAATAAATAAAAGTTCGTTAAGCCAGAACAAATGACAGTGCTGTAGATCCTGACGCAAAATACGTGAAGATTGCCAA